CGAGCCTGGCCGAGCTTGGCATAAGGGTCCCCGCATAGGAGGTCTCCTAGAGACCTCTCCCAGACCTCCCCCCAGCCTGGGGGGAGGCCTTCCGGAGCCCCCCCCCCAGCTTGGGGGAGGTCTGGTACCAGACCTCCCGTGGTCCTCCACCAGGCCTGGGGGGAGGCCTCCCCCCAGGCTGGGGGGAGGCCTCCCCCAGGCCCCCCCCAGGCCTGGGGGAGGCCTCCAGAGGCAGGCCTCCCAGAGGTCTGGGGGAGGCCTCCGGGAGGCCTCCCCCCAGCCTGGGGGGAGGCCGCCCCCCAGGCCTGGTGGAGGACCAGGGGAGGCCTCCTGGAGGCCTCCCCCCAGCCTCGGGGGGGGCCTCCCCAGGGAGGTGTCCTCGCGACCTGGGAGACCTCCCCAGGGAGGCCCCAGGAGGTCTGGGGGAGGACCTCTGGGAGGTCTGAGACCTCCCAGGCCTCCGGGAGGCCTCCCCCCAGGCTGGGGGGAGGCCTCCCTCCAGACCTCCCACAGGACCAGGGGAAATCTCCCGGAGACCCCCGGGAGGTTTTTCCTGAGCAGGGGAGGTCTCCAGGAGGACCAGGGGAGGTTTGCCGGAGGCCTCCCCCCAGCCTGGGGGGAGGCCTGCAGGGTCGAAACGACCCGGATGTTAGGGTCAGCCCGTCCCGACTCGTCTCGATTGTTAGGGTCCGCCCTCTTGGCCCGACCCGATCCGCTCGTTCGGGTACTCGCGTGACAGGTCGACGATGTATTAAATTTTATAACCCGCCCGAGGGGTTCCCGGAGGCCAAGACAGCCCGCTGCACTTAAGGGGCCCTTAAGTGCAGCGGCTCTGCTCCTCCTTCGGGGGGGCTCCCGGGGGGGTTCCCGGATTACAGGGCTGTACTTCAGGGGCCCTTAAGTGCAGCGGATCTGCTCCTCCTTCGGGGGGGCTCCTGGAGGCCAAGACAGCCCGCTGCACTTACGGGGCCCTTAAGTGCAGCGGATCTGCTCCTCCTTCGGGGGAGCTCCCGGAGGCCAAGACAGCCCGCTGCACTTAAGGGGCCCTTAAGTGCAGCGGATCTGCTCCTCCGTCGGGGGGGCTCCCGGAGGCCAAGACAGCCCGCTGCACTTAAGGGGCCCTTAAGTGCAGCGGATCTGCTCCTCCTTCGGGGGGGCTCCCGGAGGCCTAGACAGCCCGCTGCACTTAAGGGGCCCTTAAGTACAGCGGATCTGCTCCTCCTTCGGGGGGGCTCCCGGAGGCCAAGACAGCCCGCTGCACTTAAGGGCCCTTAAGTGCAGCGGATCTGCTCCTCCTTCGGGGGGGCTCCCGCAGGCCAAGACAGCCCGCTGCACTTAAGGGGCCCTTAAGTGCAGCGGGCCTGCTCCTCCTTCCGTCGGGGGGGCCCCGGAGGCCAAGACAGCCCGCTGCACTTAAGGGGCCCTTAAGTGCAGCGGAGGGCGAGGTGGAGGAGGAGGAGGATAGTTAGCACAGCCTGGGCACGGTGGAGAGCGACGAGGAGAGGGAGGGGGGAGGAGGAGGAGGAGGAGGAGGAGGAGGAGGAGGACGACGACGACGACGACGACGCGAGCGCCAGCCGCCGGCGGGGGCCGTCGCGCCTGCGCGGGGGCGGTGCCCCTCATGAGGCCCGGCAGCGCGAGCAGGAGGCCCTCGGCGCCGCCGCCGCCGCCGCCGCCGCCGTCGTCGTCGTCGTCGTCGTCCTCGGACGGGCTTCAGACCTAGGCGCCGGCGCCAGGGCACATTGTATATATATATATATACATATATATATATATATATATATATATGCGTGACCCCCGCGCGTTCGGGGAGGCGGAATGCTTCCGCCGGGCCACTGCCTCCCTATTGCTACTACCTCAGAAGAGCTGGCAGAGGGCCTGCGGAGTCTACAGCCAGATCCCCATCGCTTCCCATAGTTCCAGGTTATGGGATGGATCCAGGGGAGCAGAGGGGGAACTGTTCAGCCGAAAGATGTGGCATTCGACGCCCTGTTGCGGAGGGCTCAGCCTGGTGCTTCTCTGGTTGGCATTGTGCACGGGGGTGCAGCTGGCGAAGGCAGCGGCTGGCCAGGCAGCAGGAACTTCCACGTTATTCAGCCCGTGGATCCAGCCTTGATTGGGGGCCCTGTCAACGTGAGGAAGTTAAATTATATATATATATATATATATATATATTGACGCTTCGCGTTTCTCCACCAGCCCATCCAGGGAAGATGCCTATATAGGCGAGTTGCTGTGGTCAGGGAGGTGTGTGTGTGTATATATATATATATATAGCAGCGCGCAATGTAGCAGCCGTCTTGGGGCCCTCTTGGGCCTCTCCCTAAACCACCTATACACGCCCAGAGGGCTGGTGGGATTCCCCCCCCTCCTGCGGGCTGTGCTATCTGCCATCGTCGTCGTCGTCGTGGGGGGCCTCGAAGCGGGGGCAGATTTTATCTTCCTCACCTTCCAATCACAGGTGAAACTCGAGATGCGCGGAGAGCGCTCCGAGGGCGTCGTGTGCTATGTCGACGAGGGCCCTGATCCCGAGGAGGCTCTTACGATAGGCTTGAACGAACTGACGTCTATGAGCTGGGCTGCCCGGCAGGGCTCGTCATCCTCCAGTCTTCCTTCGCATTCCTTGGAGTCTGGGCCCTTAGTTGAGTCTTTAGCTGGCGAGGGGGGCGACGATGATGAATGTGGCGTGGAGAAGCGATGCTTGAATACGATTGACAAATACATTCAGAGCATGCATGCCGAGGGCAAGGTGGTCAGTGGCCATCTTGCGCGCGTCCACAGCCTGAACCGAGGTTTCAAAGGCGTGGATGCGACCTTCCTCCGACGGTGGTATTGTCTCAAACCTGGCCAGAGCAACGTATTGATGGGCGTTCTCGGATTCAAGGATGTCCAGGGGAAAGGAGGTATGCAGGGGTGCTGCCTGTGCTATCGTCCCGCGTTCAGAACTTGCTTGAGGACCCAACAAGGGCCCAAGAGGGCTCCGCCCGCCCGCTTGCCGCCAGCTCATATATATATATATATATATATATATATATACCGCTGCCGCCGCCAGGACCCCCTCAATCCAGGGGCCAGACTCGACGAGGGTGACGTAGAGCCAGCTGCGCTGGATCTCCCCGAAGGAGATCTCTCGCTCGAGGAGATCGAGAAGCTCATGAAGGCCCACCCCTGGATCTGGACATGAATGGGGTTTCGTGAAATCAGCAGGCCCAACTCCAACTCCCCAACTCCAACTCCCCCCAATTCCAACGATGACGATGGCGACCGCGACGACGACGACGACGACGCCGGCGGCGACGACGACGACGACGACGACAGGGGCCCCCAGGGCTGCTCCCTCGGGAGGGCCGCCGCCCGCCGCCCCTGAAGCAGCCGCGCAGGCCGGGCCCCAGGGGCGCCATCGTCCAGCGTGTGCTATATATCTGTGCCCCAACTCCAACTCCCCCCAACTCCTCCTGCCCCAACTTTGTATATATATATATATATATATATATATATATATATATATATATGAGGGGCTCCGGGCTCTGGAGAGCCCCCGGGGTGCACTGTCCCAGAGGCAGCGCGCGAGGATGACTCGGGCGACACGGGCTGACCGCTCGGGAGGTAGATAGCACACGCAGCCAAATGGGGGAGGAGTGGAGAGGGGGATATCCAAAGCAGCGTCTGGGGATGGCGAGATTTGCCGAGCCCAGTGGCACCAGCGCCCGCTTCCCATTCCCGACCCCGCCGCACGCTCTGGCCCCTCCTGCCCTCCACTCTCTCCCTCTCTCTCTCTGCCTCTTTCTGGGGAAGGACAGCCTGCTTCGACATGTGGTCGGCGGGCGTGGGGAGCAAGCTGATCAGCAAGAGGATCAAGAGCATGGCCGCGTCGCCTCCCGCCTCTTCTTCCACCATCACCCTGAGAAGCTGGAAAAAAAGACAGGCAAAACGTGAGACTGACTTCGAGGGGCAGAAGAAGAGAAGGACTCAAGCTGAGCTGAGCTTGCACAAACTGAAGGGCTTGTTTGGTAAAGCCGACGACAAGACTGCTCGGACCCACCCCAGTGGGCCCAAGCGTCGCAAGAGTGCTCCCACACTTGGCCAAGGCTCCAACGCTGCGTCACCTGCGCCACTTGCCGGCGACCAGGGCGCCCCCCCGCTTGCGGACAGACAGGGCACTGGCACTCCATCACCTGCCCAGCCTTCGGGCAGCCAGGGCACCGGCACTCCATCACCTGCCCAGCCTTCAAGCAGCCACGGCACCGGCACTCCATCGTCTGCCCCGCTTGACAATGGCCAGGGCGGCTCGAATCCAGATGGCCAGATTGTGGGTCCTGCAGAACAGGTGATTCGACCAGCGAATAAGCGTGATTCCATTGTAATTTTCAAAAAGATGCAGATCATTCATTCTCTGGCTTTGCCGTAATCCGCCTGACCAGGCCATGCTGACTGATGTGCCATTCCCCCTCCTCGTCTCTCGTTGTGTCGCTTCTCATCCTCCTCATTCCTCGTTTCTCTTCCTCCTCAATCTGTCGATGTTGCTTCTTCCTCTTCCTCCTCCTCCGCCCAATGGCCCAGCCGCCTGCCTGTGCTATCCCCTCTCCCGCCTGGTCGCCGCCAGGTCCAACAGGCTTACCGCGACCAAGAGGGCCCCAAGACGGCTCCAAGAGGGCCCCGAGAGGGCTCCAAGAGGCCCCGGCAACAAAAAAACAATGTATTTTTGCCATGCTGTTATCAGATTCCACTGGGGGCTTCTGAAGAGCCCCAAGGAGGGGTCCTCAGGCTTCTCCATGCGCTGCCAGGGGCTGTCTCTGGGAAGACAGGTGATGGATTTCTATCAAAGTATGGAGGGCCCTCACAGAATCCGCGAAGATCTGACTATAGCAGAGTTCCCTGAATCTATAAAAAGGACAATGATTCACCGTTGGATTGCCTCTTCTAAGAAGTACTATTGGGGCCAGCTCCCAGTGAAGGTGGCAAAATCGCAGAAAGAGGTGCCCAAATGGTTTCGGAAGGCGATGAATTTGGATTTGAAGGGCCCAGGTTCCAACAACTTCTTGCCTATGGAAATTCAGATCCTGCTAGATAAGTGGCTGTGCAGCAGGACCCAAGCCATGGATCACAGCAAAGCAATCCGGGAGCAGCTCTCAACTAAGAACATCGTCGAAGCGGCCAAGAAGGTGATCAGCCGCTACAACCTCAGGGCCATAAAGACAAACAAGGACATCGACGCGACGAACAATGCAACATGGGATAAATTCCTGGCTAAAGAGATCACTGACGACCAAGCCACAGAGATGTACCTGAAGCGTATTCCTCTAGCTGAAGGCCATCCCACAGCGACGTGGGCGAAGCGGTTCAAGGACAGATTTGGCTGGCGTACCAAGAGGTCCGAGCTCCCCCTTCCAATTTAGATAGCGGGCTGTGCTAACTACACTGCGTCATTCTACTCGCTGGGGTGGGCCCTCGTCGTCGCGGCTCGACGCGGCTCGAAAGACTCGTGGCGTCGATGGCCCCCGAGCGGTCGAACGAACAGAGTCCAAATGGCTGGGGGAGGGCATTCCGAGCGGTCGAACGAACAGAGTCCAAATGGCTGGGGGAGGGGGATAGCACAGGCCAGGACAGAGGAGGACGGGGAGGAAGGGGAGGAGGGAGGGAGGGGCGAGGAAGGGGTGCAGCAGCATAATGAGCACCCTTCCCTCCCTGCACCCCTCTCCCCATCGCCGCCTGGCCAGCTGCTGCCTGCTCGGCCAGGATCGCCTCGATGCCCAGGCAGTCGTCGGCCTGGCGAGGGAGGTGGGGGGGGGGGGCGAGGAGGAGGAGGAGGCGGCGCCCTGGCTGTGCTATCTGCGAGTCGTTACTCTCTCGGGCTTTTCCCTCTGAACTTCTTGGGGCCCTTGGTCCTCGGTCCTCGATCGCCGCCGCCGACGACGACGACGACGACCAAGACGACGACCAAGACGACGACGACGACCACGACGACGACCGCGACGACGACGACGACGATGGAGGCGGCGGCGTCGGCGCCGGAGCCGGCAGCGGCCTGGGCCTCTTGGGCGTTGCGTAATGGAGGGGTCATAAATAGGGGGGTGGCGAGGGTGGTCCGAAAAGGTACCCAAACGGTACCTAAACGAGCCCCCTGGGGGTCTGGAGGGGCCCGAAAGGGGCACGAAAGGGGACCGTTTCTGACCCCCCCATTTATGACCCCCCCATTAAGCAACGCCCAAGCCTCGGAGCGCCCCTGCCCTGCCTGTGCTATCCGCTCAGGCTGTCTGCGCCTGGGGACGCGCTCCCGCTGAACCACTGGAAAGTGGTGCAATGGAGACGGGGTTGGACAGAGGATCTTGCCAGGGCCAACGTGGACGAGCGCCTTGTCTTGAACTATGACCAGGTTTGGCGCATTGTGCATCGCGGGAGCCAGGTAAAGCTATACAAGGCACGGGACCGATCAGGACGCCAGCTCGATGGGCTGTCGCGCAAGCAGCAGTTCATGGCGAGAGAGGCTCGGGGATCTCTGGCTATGCTCAAGAAGAAAGCCTACGACGAGGCCAACACCTACCTGGACTACGAGTGCCTGGGCGATTCCACTGATGAGGAAGTCGAGGCCGATCCTGACTTCGTCTCCAACATCCCTGTGGCCGGGGCCCGGCTGCCACATACCTGCGTCACCTCAGTGTGGGCCAGCGGCCACACAGGGCCCCTCATCTACGTGTTCGGGTCGAACGGGCCACTCAAGGCGAGCACCGTCGCTGAGCTGAACAACAAGTACCAGGGGGAAATCTTCTGCATGATGAGCGGCATAGCTACCCACTTCATGGACACAGATTCAACTCTGCGCATGTGGGAGGGTGCCTTTGCACCAGCCTTCGCCCAGCGCCGCAAGGATTTGGGCTTGACGCGCGCCGTCAGAGGGGCCCTAGTCTATGATTCATTCTCGGGAAACGAGGGGAGCGGTGGGAATGTCCAGCGCGAGAAGTTCCTGGAGGACCACAACCTGATCGCGAAGCAGATTCTTCCGCACGGCACCGCTGTACTCCAAGCATGCGATAAGATACACGCATACTGGCGCAGGTCCGCCGGGCGGGGGGGAGAAGGAGGAGGAGGAGGAGGAGGAGGAAGAGGGGGGGGCGACGACGACTCCTCTGTTCTTAGGTGCGTGCGAAGCGCGCGGTGGCGCTCAGTTATATAGCACAGCCTGGGACGAGGGGGCGAGGAGGAGCATGGGGGAGGAGGGGGAGGAGGAGGAGGAGGAGAAGAAGGATGTGCTAACCGCCCACCTGGCCAGGCTGTGCTAACCGCCCCCCTTGGTGCTAGCGGGTGAGGGCGAGATGCAAGACGCGGGCCCCCCGATGTCCCTTGGGCCCCCTGAGGCTACAAAAAGCTTTGGATGTTCCAGAACGAGAGGCCCCCTGAGACCCGAATGCGATATTTTTAAAACGTTACCTTGCGACCTGTCCTCCCCGCAGTCAGGTTGACCGATGCTTACGAGGCCGAAGCAGTTGGATTCAATGCTAACCCCATGCGACGCGCAGCACTTCATGATATTGCTCGCAATGAATCAGGATTTGCAGATCGGCGCCTGGGAACGCCAGAAGAGGTCCGATGGGGCATCAAAAGTTCACGTTCCTCGATTCTGTCACACCCCGAACTTATATATATATATATATGTATATATATATATCTATATATCCATCTGGCATTCGGCTACCCGCCGCCCTGCCACCCTGCGTTCTCAGAGATAGCACAGGCTGGATCGATATTGTGCTAACTTTTCGTTGGTGACTATAGTGGAGTCTCTCGGGAGAATGGCGAGAAACCGCGCTGTGGGCAGGCCCCTCCGCCTGGCGGATGCCCTCGTCGTCGCCGCCGCCGCCGCTGCCGTCGTCGTCGTCGTCGTCGTCGTCGCTTCTCATCCCCCGGGCCTGGCGGCTGGGCGCCAGCGCGCGCCGTTGGCGGCCCATCGGCCTGCGGCGCCCTGGCCTGGCGCGCGGCGGGGGGCGTCGCTGTCGCCGTCGTCGTCGCTCGTCGGCCTCGGCCTCCCGGGGGGGCATTGGCGGGGCCGCCAAAGAGAAGGATCGTCGAGTTTTTTTCGGCTTCTGGGAGCCGCTTTCCTGACAGGTTGTGCTGAGCGGCCTCTGGGCGTGGCGCAACTTGCCAAAGACTCTTTTGGAGTGGGCTTGGTTGTCGGTCGGCCTCGTGAGCGAAGAGTCCATGGCGCAGATGAACAACCGAGAGCCCAGGGGCGAGGACCTTATCGACGAGCAGGCGGCCAAGGTGTACAAAAAGGCCAGGGTGTGTATACATATATATATATATATCGCTCCTTCTCTCCCCCATCCTCATTTTCCTCCTGCTCATCGGGCTGGGCGCCCTTTCCGGGGACGTCTCAAGCAATCGACGTGCTGCACTTCTCCTCCTCTCCCTCCTCCTCCTAGACCCTGAGGGCCAGACCCTCAGGGTCTTGGCCCCTCCCCCCTCCCCCAGTTGATCCCCCCCTGCGCGGGCTGTGCTATCTCTGGAACCCCGCTTTGCAAAGGACGTGTCTCGGCATCGTTCGGACGTGTGCATTTTTCGACGTCGTCGTCGTCGCCGCCACTGTCGGCGTCTCGGATGCATCCGAGGCGCTGAAGCCCCTCCCCCCCCCCTTTCCCCATGGAGGTGGAGGAGGAAGCCTGTTGTGGAGCCATCTGGGGCCTCGCGCCGTCCCGGGCGTTCTTCTGGGCCGTTTTAGGGCATCTTAGGGCATCTATATAAGGCCATTTGGGGCTCCCCCCCCCCGTGCGCGGGCTGTGCTATCTCGTCGTCGTCGCGGCTCTCTCCACCTTCCCCTCGACCTGTCCTCCAAGTCCGCCGCCGGGCCCTCGGCCTGCCCCGAGGCTGCCCGAGGCTGCCAGGGGGACCACAAATATCCTGTCGTCGCTGTCGTCGTCGTCGCTGTCGTCGTCGTTCGTCGTCGCTGTCGTCGTCGTCGTCCTCCTCCTCGTCGTCGTCGTCGCGTCTCGCCCGAGTTCATTATGCTGGACGGGAAGCCCGACGTCGAGCCCGACCCAGAGAAGCGCCATGATGACCACTCAGCGGAGCTCCCCCACACCCGGGTGTGGCTGTTGGGCGATCAGATGCTCCCGAAGTACATGTACGTTGCCCTGGAGACCGCTCTGTACTCACATCGGAACCAAGTGGCAGCGGCCCTGGCAGCTAAGACGAAGGCTCCCCCTTTCCTCCTCCTCCTGGGGGGGCCCAGGGGGGCTCAGGATCTGGTGCGCACCAGGATGTGCTAACTAGACGTCGTGAAACCTCTCTCCCTCCCCCTCTTCCTCCTCCTCCTCTTCCATCCCTTCTCCTGGTGCATCAAAAAGATACCCCTGTCAGACCGCCAGACTTTGCAGCTAAATATGTATATATACACACACCTATATATTAAACAAACCCAGAGGAGATGAAAGGCTGGGGGGATCAGAGATCTGCAATGCACCAGGCTGTGCTAACTAGATGTCGTAAGAACCTGCCCCCGACTCCCCCCCTCTGCTCTGGACTCTCCTGTGTAGGGCGGGCAGGGCGTTTCGCGCCGCCGCCCTGGGCCCGACGCTCTCGGGCCACGCCGAGGCCCTCTGGGGGAGGCCGAGGCTCTCGGAGGGAGGCGACGGTTTTGTCGTCGTCGTCGCCGCCGCTGCTGTCGCCGCCGCCGCTGTCGTCGTCGTCGTCGTCGTCGCGGCCCCAAGGGGGATATGGGGGTCCCATCCGCCAGGCTGAGGCGCTGGAGGACGGCCCGGCCAAGGCGAAGGCGGTCGCAGCCACCGCCGCCGCTGTTGACAAGGTCAACTCGAATCGCTTCTACACGTTTCTCTTTAATCCATCACAGCATCGTGAGATCAGGGGGAGAGAGAAACTCATGAAGCTGCCAAAGTACAAAGGGGCGACCAAGCATGGTATTGCGTTTCGCCTCGACCCTGCAACTCCGAGCATTCGCGTAGACCCGCTATCGCCTGGTGAGTTCGTGCCCATTCGGTGCGTGGAGGTATTGCCAGGTACTGACCCAATGCCTGCCATCTTCGCGCTGGACGCCCTACCAGAACCGCCCCCCGAGCCTGAAGACGACGAAGGCGCGGGGATGGGGGTCCAGGGAAAACGCCCCAACCCCATTGCGCCAGCTTGTGCTATGTGCTGTCTCCCCTCGCAGTCGCTGTCGCCGTCGCTGTCGCCGTCGCCGTCGCTGTCGTCGTCGTCGTCGTCGACCCCCCTCCCTCGCCTTACCTCGCCTTCCTTCTCTCTCAAGCTGCGGCCTCAACCCAGGTGGTGACGTCGACCCCGTGATGGCCGAGGGCGGCGCGGCAGTGCCCCTGGCTGGGCCAGGCGGCGACGGAGGGGGCGGCGGCGGGGGCTTGGGCGCGGCAGTCGAGCCAGGCGGCGGCGGAGGGGGCTTGGGCGAGGCAGTCGAGCTCGAGGAGCTGAACGATTTAACTGTCGACGAGTTCCTGAAGTACGAGGCTGGACGCAAGGGCGCGCTGAGGGCTCCGGTGGCGACGCCGCCGGCGCTGCCTCATCACCTGCCCGATGGGGGCCGCCGTCAGGCCCACGGTGACAAGTGGCAGTACTGGTACGAGAGGTGCCCACGCACAGGGCTGCCCACTGGCTCCGGCGTGGGCCAGTGTAAGTGCCTCGGGATTGCATGGGCCGATCGAACTCCTTAAACCCTGGCCCTCGATCCTCGAACCTCCAACCTCGATCCTCGAACCTCGAGCGTCGAACCTCGACGGAGATAGCACAGGCAGAACAGGACAGGGAGGATCGTGGAGGAGGGGGATTAGATCCCCCTTCCCTTCTGCCTGTGCTAAGTTTGGGCCCTCAAGGACTCGGGCCAGGCGAAAGGGGGGGATTGGGAAAGGGGGGGTTACGAAATCTGCTGCATGCAGCTGGTTTCGGCCTCGCCGAGGGGCCCATTCCTCGATGCATGGCCGCCTCCGGCGCCGGGAGGCGCCGGGAAAATCAGCTACATGAGCTGATTCTCAAACCCCCCCTTTGCTATCCCCCCCCTTCGCCCGACCCGAAGGACGTCTGTCTTCCAGAGCAAGACGTTCGCCTGGCCCCAGCACTACCCCACGAGCGAGGCAGCCCAGGCGGCGGGGAGCGCTTGGGCATGGCAGCAGTGCGCAGTTCACACTGCTGGCCCTGAGGAGTAGCCATTTTCCCTGTGGCCTGTGCAGCTGCTAGTGGCAGCGCGACCAGGGAGCGGTTCGTTTGCGTCGCAGCCGCCGCCCCCATGCGCGGGCGCGGCGGACGCGCGGGCGTGGGCGCGGGCTTTCCTCCACCTCCTTCTCCTCCTTCTCCAGTTCCTCCTCCTCCTCCTCCTCCTCCTCCTCCTCCTGCTCCTCTCTCTTTCTCTGGGCGCCGCTGAGGCGCACCAGGTGGGCCTGGGGCGGGCCTGCCAGGTGTTTTAAGTTCCCGCTTTTGCCTGGTTGGGACAGGCGTGCCAGCAGATGATTCTAAATCCTGGAAGCCAAAACAGGAAAACAACCAGCTGGCGATTTGGCATCCAGGATTGGCGTGGAGCCTGGGGGCGCTCAGCGGGAGAGACCTGGACTGGTTGCGGGTGCGGCGAGCAAGGCATCTGCTGGCCCACTTCCAGAGCACAGAGAGAAAAAGACTCGCTGATCCACTCCTGCCCCCTATCCTGGGGTTCGAAGGGTAAGGAGTGGGAGGTCAGATCAGATCCAGATCAGCTCGTGCTATCTGCCCTGGCCAGTAAGGGCGGGAGGGGGAGTGATAGAGAGAGAGAGAGAGAGAGAGAGAGAGAGAGAGAGAGAGAGAGAGGAGACCCTCAGAGAGAGCGGGCGCCCTCCGCGGCCTTCTGGCGGCCCCCTGGTGGAGGAGGAGGAGGAGGGGGAGGAGGAGCTGCCACGTGCGGCTCAGTGGTGCGAACAGAGAGGGCCATTCTGGGCTCCCCCTCCCCTTGCGCGGGCTGTGCTATCTCGTCGTCGTCGTCGTCGTCGTCGTCGTCCGAAGAGGGGGATGGGGCGGGGCTCGCCCCACTCGCCAGGGGCCCCCTCGCCGCCGCCAGTGCCTCTTCAGCGAGCTTCGCGGCGCGCGCCGTGGGCCCCTTACCCCCCCGGCCACAGAAGCATCGGCATCGGATGTGGCTGCTGCTCGGCTCGGTGCTCTTGCTGCTCAGCTTCATTGCGGGCGTTTGGATCGGTCGTCGCTGGCCGAAGGCCCCTGAACCGAGCCCGACTTCTCCACCGCCCCCGCCAGCTGTGGCGCTTCCACCGCTTCCACCAGGGCCACCAGGCAGCCGCTCGTCGTCGTCGTCGACGAGCCCACCGGAGCCGAGCCCGACCCCTCCTCCGCCCGGACCGCCAGAGCCGCGCCTGAGGGCCCCTGGATCGAGCCTGAGCCAAATCACGATGGTGGTGACCGCGCCCTCTGGGAAGGCCTTCCACTTGCGGGATGATTGCAAAGGCCTGAATTTACCTCGCGATGCTGCTGAGGGTTGGGAACGCGGGGGCCCGCCCAGGCTTGAATCTCTCTCTCCGCCCCCCTGCCCTGCCTGTGCTTTCTCTTCCCCCATGCCCTGCCCTGCCTGTGCTTTCTCCTTCCCCACTGCCCTGCCTGTGGTGCCTCCTTCCCCCTCCCCCCCTCCTCCTCCCTCCCTCTCCTCTTCCCCCTTATCCGTCTTCCTCTTCTTTCCTTCGACTCCTCCTTTTCCTCGTCGCCACATCCCTCCACCTCCTTCTCCTCCATTTCGCCCTCGACTGGAAAAGCGAACCCCCGGTTCCCAACCCCTGTTTCCGGCCGCCTGGACCGCAGGAATGTGAAATATTTGCCATTGTGCAAGATATGCGCCAAGCGCGAGTAGGTGCCCCGCCCGTTCAGGGGGGGGCCAACCTTCTAAATAGCAGAGAGTAGGTGCCCCGCCTGTTCAGAGGGGGCCTGCCTGTGCCATGCCGCAGCTTGGAAGAACGCATTCCTCCTCCTCCTCCTGCTCCTCCTTCTCTGCCTCGGATGCCCAGGAAGGGGGGGAGAGGAGAGGAGAGGAGGACGATGTGGGAGAGGAACGGAAAATGAGGAGGAGGAGAAGGGTTCGAAGGGGTAGAGATCCAGCCCTAGCTGCACCCCACCCCGCGAAAAGTAGTTAGCACAAGTGTTCCAACCCGCGAAAAGTAGTTAGCGCAAGTGTTCCAACCCGCGAAAAGTAGTTAGCACAAGTGTTCCAAGGAGTAGATAGCACACGCTGGCCTGGATCCATTCCGCAACGCCCAAAGAGATAGGATTTTCAGGCCCAAGAGGGCACCGAAGAAGATAGCACAGTTACCAGGCGGTGCTAACTTTTCCTTGGAATGCTCGTGCTAACTTTTCGTTGCTGACTATATCGGATGGCTACGTACTATTGGGACCTACGACCAAGGGATTATTACCAGCCTATGGCAAAAAAATGAGGGGGGCGGCGGTCTTTCTAATTATGCAGCCGTCACCCTACAATTACACGGGCTCCCACTACCTACGCCCTCTCCCCCACCAACTCCCACTTCCCAACCTATCATCTTTCTCCAGGCAATCAGCTCTCTACGAGTGTCACTCACATACGGGGTTTGCCTGTCATACAGTATTGTTGATGCACGCTCGAAGTCTGAAGTACCGTGACATCGTAATGGACAGCACACAGAACGACAGTACATGATAATGGGTACACATCGAGTACTACGACAGCACACACAGGGAACTACCATACCACATCAACCAGCACAGACATGCGATTGTGATCCGACCACGGTTCGACCTCTCCTCTCCCGCTCAGCTACATCCAGCTCTTGCCTGCTTAAGCTATCACAAATGTTACCTATCTCGACATCCAGAGAATAGTGTGAGTAAGAGTTGCATACTAAGGAAAGGCACAGGACTCCGACACCAGCGAACCACTGTGCCTACGCCTACTATCACATCAAGGTCTTACTACGATTCCTTACGGCCCAACCACTGGGAACTAAGGAAACGACTACAATATCTAAGGTGCACAACAGTAGGCGGGAACAACTAAGGTAACGAGGAATGGTATACAGCTCGACATACCACCAGAGGACATTTGCGACTCGAGCATCTTCGCGGCTTCCCATCCAGTGCTGGCGGCCACCCCGCCTACATCCAGAGCCAGCGCCCAGAGGGCGCGCGACCAGTGCGGCGATGGCGGCGCAGGCGCACATGGAGAAGGGCGAGATGGCGAAGCAGCATGATGCAGGAGACCATCTGCAGCCGACGATTGTGCAGAAGCCGCTCGACAGAGGAGGCATGGGAGGAGCTGCGGACCAAGTGGCGGGCACGGCGGCGTACAGGCTCGAGATCGCGCACAACACGCTCCAGAGTGCGGCCGCATCGTTCAAGGTGGCGACCGAGCACAGCAAGAAGGCCCTCCACGCGCTCCACAAGCAGCGGGAGAGGGTCGTGACCACCCTGGGCCGCTTGAATGCGAAGAGCCTCAACCCACACGAGGAGGCGGAGCGCAGCCAAGCGGAGCTCTACCTCAAGGAGCAGCTCCGCGACATCAACGGCGCCATCAGCTCAATGAGGAGCGCCATCGGCATCACCGACGACAAGATGGGCAAGACCACGCACGGGCCGATGCCATGGGAGCTGGACTTCACGAGGCGCCAGTACGACGAGCTCGACAACATATACACGCGCTGGACGAAGGGCCCGCACGGCTACGCCTACGACGAGGCGTTCTTCGATGGCGACCTGCAGACGGAGCTAATGTTGGAGCCGCAGATGGAGATAAAGGACTACCTCCAGCCACCACGCAGGCCGCCGTGCACCAACCCGAGCAAGAGCATCGAGGGCTGGGAGAACCGTGGCAAGGTTCTCAGCAGTGAGGCCAGCTCGAGCACCACCCCAGCCGCCGCCTCGGCAGTCACTAAGGATGACAGCTCAGGCCAGAGCAAGGACATCAGGCTGTCCTCGCCAAGGGCGGCAGCGGCGGCAGGCTGGGGCATAGGGCAGCAGCAGTAGTAGAGAGCAGACTGCACTAGGCCTGGCCTCCCCTTTTTTTTTCTCTCCCCACTACCGCTACAAGGGAGAGCTCGGCAGCAGCACTCAACGCATGAGCCAGTGCGGCCATGCACTACATACTACGTAAGCCGAGGGCAGGGAGTACCAGGCCGCCTCTTTTTCTTTTTTGCCTCTCTACCGTCCTGGGAGTGGGGGAGAGGTGGGAGGAGGGGGGCGGTGGTGGGCGGGCTCTCAGCGGTGAGGGGTGCGCCCAGCGAGGCAGCCCCACATCGCCTGCAACAGTCGACAGGCCGCAACCGAGGCAGGGTCTCCCTGCTAGCGAGGCACGGGGCC